ATAGAATCAGGGATAGTAAAACATATTCATCTATTCATTGACACAAATAATTTCCAACAAGCCTTATAATTTTCATACGAATTTAAAAAATATTTTTGATTAACTCTCTGTTTTTGGTAGCCTATTAGGCACATATATGTGTATTGTATAGGTGTAAAAACAAATATAATACTACTAGGATATACTTAACAAAAAATTCATTTATCGGAGCTAATTTTTGAAATTTCCTATGTCCACAAACTAAAATATATTGATTATATTAGGTTAGACATTATCTTTGCCAATCAAATCTAAAAAAATCAACTTATTAATTTAAAAAATTGCTCTCATTTATTGTTGACTGTAATATTATGCAATTCCATTGAATTGTTCTGACAAATGAAAATAAAATTTTATTTTATCATTAAAATAGTTAACATTTCTACAAAATTACCATCTTACCTAAGGGCACATTAACATTCTAAAATGTCTCCATCTTTTTCAGAAAAAGCTTTTTCTTCTCCATCTTTCTATTGGTGTAAAATGTTTACAAAATTTTGCAACACTAATTTACCCTCAATAATAATATATTAAAATTACAGAAATAAGTTGAAAACTATCTTGCAAAATTTTCTTTCTTATCCAAAACAGAAAAAGCATTTCCTTAAAATTAATTAAAAATTTTAATTATTATATTGGTAAAATTAAAATTTAATTTGCAATTGAATTCAATTTAAAACCGACTTATGCAATACCTATATAGGTAAATTTTCCTTCTGGCTATAAAAAAAAAGAAAGATTAATGGGATTTTCATAATCAAACTTAAAAATTTTTTAATTTTTTATGATCGCTTTAAAATTTACAATTGTCCGAAATTACTGAAGATGAACTAAATTAAAATGAAAATTAAGTGTTACAAATCGTGCGAAATTTTATGCAATGAAAATAAAAAAAATTTTGTTAATAATTTTTCTTTTTTTTCACCATACTTAAAATTTAATGACAAATTGAACAACGTAAAAGAAAAATATTGTTTTAGATACTTTTTTTTAAGTAATTTTTTAAACAATATTGCAAGCCAAAGCCGTACAGGTCTCACGTAATTCACACAAATCAATTTTAATAAAAGATTTTCTTATTTTTCACAAATATGTAGGTTATTTACAAGTAATTTGTGTACAATTGTTATTTCCAACTAAAATGTACTACACTTACCTTAAAGCAAGTATTACAAAATTTTCAAATTACATTCTTATTTATATGTTTTTAAATACCTGAACAGATAAACAATGTAGGACACACGATTACTTAATTTTTTTTCTGTTAATTATGTGAGATTTTTTAGGACAATTTTAAATCTGCGGTTGATTTGTTTAAAAGTGCGTTAAATAACTTTAAATATGGTTAAAAACTCATTAAAATCAGATCAATTTTTGTTAAATTTTAATATTATGAAACTAGATAAATTTATATATATATATTTCTGTGTCATCTTGAATTACATAAATTATGTAACTCATAAATAATTAAGTAACTTTTAATGATAGCCATTAAGCGTGACATTTCAAATTTATTAAGGGAAATTACTTAATTTTTAATTATAATTTTAATTTAATTAAAACAAAAGCATTTTATTTAGTTTCAAGACAATTTTTTATTAATGAAAATAAATTTTAAAATTTAATTTTTTAATTTTATAATTTTATTCTTATGTAATTTTCATGTTATAATTGTGAACATTATTGCATTTAAACATAACAAATTTTAATTAAAAAAAAAAGAACATAAAATATTTATAGAACAATTCTTTTTTAATATACTCCACTAATAGCAGCAATAATTAATTAAAATTTTATTATGAAATCAATATTATATGTACATCAAAATATTTATCAACCATAGAAACCACCAAATCCACGTCTATAACCCCATCCACCATATCCGCCACCGTATATAGGTCTATATCCAAAACCAGGATATCCTCCGTAACCAAATCTACGATATCCAAATTGTCTTACCAAACGTTCAGAATTTATATCATGTTCACCAATATTATCATCAATATCATATAAATTATTACTTTGTTGTGTTTCAGTTAGATCATCAAGTTCTCCGGTACAATTTACTAAATTCAAATCCAATGTTATAACAATAATAAAAATTAATGTAAAAAATTTTAATACACGAATCATATTGAAATTTAAAATATGTATGTAAATTAATTAAAGAACACGATTAAGATTTGTAATTAACAAATTTTACAATGATTAAAATTTTAAAATTGATTCTCTTTTTATATGAAATTTATTTGAAAAAATTTACATGAATGCTCACTTAATGCAGTTCTATTTGATTTCACTTAGGTTCTTAAGGTTCTATATATATATATATATATATATATATATATATATATATATATATATATATATATATATATATATACATATATATATATACATATATATATATATATAGAACTTGAATAAATCAATAACGCGCAAGTACGTACCTATATTACAATAGTATGTAATATGAATAGTGTTATTGAATTATATGTATAGTATATATAGTAAAGCGATTATAAACCTATATAATAAATATACATATATGTATATAATAGACTGATATGCAACAATGATCAATGATCAAAATCACTAAACATATATTAATATAATATGAAGGTGTGATATTAAATTACATTATTTAATATGTACACATATACTTAAGTATACAGTACAATATAGTATTAAGTACAATGAAAGTGTTTGTTATACTGTGATTCTTATACCTTAAAAGCTCGCTAAAAATTTTATTTATTCATATGAATGAATTTATTTTTGATCAAATCTGCTATTGCTATGAAATCTGCTATGACCAAAGAGTTTAACATTGAAAACAATATGTTGATGCTTATTCTGAATGCCGACGCCTCTATAGGATAATAATATTTACCGCAAAAGTTGAAAAAATTTTATTATACGAGTAGACATGAATCATTTGAATAAATCGGTTTGTATTTAAAATAATGATTTGAATGATGATTCGAACTTTTTCTAAAAATATCACTATCATTTTGTGGTTTCGATACTCAGCAAGACTCAATTATTTTATTTTGATTTCTAGCAGTTCAAAATAGAAGAGTAATTTTTTATAAACTTTCAATTTGATCAAAAAATAATTTTTTGTTTTTACATAATGCTTATGTTCTGAAAAATTAGCAAGATAAAATATTAGTATTTTTTCAAGGTCAAATGCAAATTATTTTACCACAAAACCATTTATAAAAAAGGGTTCTATCTCTATTGGTTACGAAACAGGATTAATTATTTTCCTGGCACCTGCTATTTAAAATTTTAACTTCTTGTCATATCAACCCCTTCAATTAAAAAAGTTTATTATACCGATCTTGTCATGGAATTCTACCTTTTAAAACCATTGATTGGTATGTTCTATATCTATATGGTATTGTGTTTCATCCCATTCGAGCAACAATTAAGTAAATGTTTATTCAATTTAAATTCCTTTAACTGATGTTTTAAAATTTCTCATTCAATTTTAAATATTATTCAAATGTCTATTTGTAAATTGCACACTTAATTTTCTATTGTTTTAAATGTTTCAAGAATAATCTAAATTCTGAAATATAAAAAGACTCAAGTAACATCACATTCATCAACTTGTAAAATTTTAGGTTTTCTTTGTCTAGCAAATTTTATAAACTAAAGAAAATTTCAAGCCAATTTAATAATTTCATTATAATTTGTGTGTGTCAAGAATCTGGTAACTTTTCACTTATTATTTGCTCTACAATCTGAAAGACCTTTAAATTGAAACATATTGTTATTTTAGTATACAAAAAATTACATATTTTAAAAGTCTTTTAAAGCGAGAATAAGGTTCGATTTATTTCTCTTTCGAACGAAGTCAAAATATGCATTTTCTTAATACCTTCAAAATGCTAAAAACAAGTGAGGTTTTTTTGTGTATAAGATGAGCAATAAAATCTTAAAAAAAATATTTATTTAAGTATGTAAATTTAATTGAAAAATTTAAATAAAAAAAAAAATAAATTTGCCTAAATATATGCAATTTTTTTTCAATAAAAATCAACTTTAATCATTTCACTTTTTTCGCTGTTATTGTTATCATTTTTCATATACATCCCCATTTTTATCTTATCCTATAGATATTCTTACTTCAATACTTACATACAATTATTAGAAAGAATCGATATGGTTATTGCATATTATAAATACAGTATTTTTATTTATTTCAATAAATTTTAAACTAAGTCATAAAATGAGTCATTAAGACGTTTAAGATGAGCACAATATTGTAAAAACGTTTATAATATTCTAAAATTTTAGAAATCGAAGTGAGTCTAAAATTTAGGATATTTGGATATCCAAAATTTCGTATTAAATAATATAGAAATAAAAAAAATAATAGTTAAAGCAATTTTACCAACTTTTACCTTATTAAAAGCTTAAAGTCTTATATTACTACTACAGAATTTCTCAAAGCCTACTTATTACGTTCAAATTTTGATCAACCGAATTAAATTCATATTTGAGTTCTTTACGAATTCGCCAGTCTACTCATCAAGTCATAATTTAACATTGAAAATTTACCCTCATTCTGTCAATTTAACATCTAGATTTTACCCTCATTCTGTCAATTATGGAAATAAATTTTAAAAAGAAGGCTATAAATAGTAAATATTATGCTAGAATGATATTGTTCGGAAACAAAAATAAAAATTGGTTTAGACTTCGAAGTTAATTTGCTATGTCACATAAAATGGTATTCGTCAAAATGTTTACTATATAGTTTACAAGAATAATTAAAAATGGCTAATGTATACATTTACATATATAGAGACATTTTGCTTTTGAATTTATTACCCTTCTATATTACCTTATCTAATCATTTTGGAATAAATTTTGAAATATTTTCTGATATTAAAAATGATATTGATATTCGTATAAACTAAGTTCATGCATTTAATTTTCATATTATTCTTTCTTTCGTTAATTTAGTTCGATCATAACACTTCCTGTACTATGTATTAATAATTTATATACTAAACAATGTTTACAACATTTATAATAGTCTTTTTGACAACATTTTTTATTGTTTTTATAATAAGGGTACAAAAAATTTTAATATTTTTTTTTAATTTTTAGCAATTGCGTATGTATATGTATTATAATTAATTAATTATTTCTACAGATTGCAATTCGTAAATTTGCTGATATAAATGATCCACCAGTTAGGACGAGACGTACCGCCCCACCTACTGAATCAGGTTAATTTCATAATTATTATTAAAATTTATTAATTATTAATAATTAATAATTATTTTTTTAGCATCAACACGAGTATTCACAATCGAAAGAAATTCAGAATTAACTGTTGTCAATTCTCATAGAGCACCGCCACCTGATTATAATCAATCAATATTAAATGAAATGCAATTTCCAAGACTAAGTCAAACAAAACAATTCTTTATTATTAGTGATAAAGATTTGCCATCTTACGAGGAAGTTATCGCACAAAAAAATCAAGAAATAACATTAAATAATAATATACCAACAAGTAGTAGTAATAATGCAACTTCATCAATAACGGCAATAATACAAGAATCGATAATAACTGCTGATAACAATCATAATATAACAAATAATAATGTAAATTCAACAAATGCTATACAAATCAATAATATAGGAAATAGTAATAATTGTATAGCGACATTATCAACTACAACTACAATTGATAGTACTACACCAAATACAATTAATAGAAATATAATAACTACACCAAATATAACAACTACAATTGATAAAAATAATTCAGAAAATAGAACTACATCAGCTACAGTTAATACTCAATGAAATGTGGTTTCTCAATACGGTACTATTGAAATAAATTGATATTTGAGATCATAAAAAAAAGAGAGTTTTTAAATCGTAAATAGCTAATGAACTACTTACATACCACACATAATCTTTACATACAAATATGTACTGAGGATTACTATTATATTTTTTAATTCTTTTATAACATTTGTGTACAAATTGTTTTGTAACAAGGGATTAAAATGGATATAACCACCTACAGTTGAACAATAGAACAAACAGTTAACACAAATTATCAGAACAAGATATCTTATCTTCAATTTTTTAAGATTTGTTATAATTTTATAACGACATTTTTATATTAAATTTATTAAATTATAATCGGTATTTCACAATTCATAAATTTTTTTTATAGAAATAAGTTTAAACGATAATTATTATGATTTATATTTGTATACATGTAATACATACATATAAATAATATGACTGTGATTTTAAAATGGTGTTTTTTTTGGTATCGTAAATCGTAAAAAAATAATTTATGTTTAATTTTATTTCATTTAAAATGTAAAACTCTGAATTTAAAAATAATTTGCATGTGAATTAGAATTTTAACCTTTGAGTTCCGATATCAATATTTTATCAATAAATTTCTTTATAAATAATGTATGAAAACACTTGATTTTTGAATGAAATTCTTTGTTATTCGCTGTATTTGTTGCAAAATGTGATAATTAATAAAAAAAAAGGTTTAGTATTTTTAGAATAATGTTTGAAAATATTGCGAAAAAGTTAATGGAAATTAATATCCCATAATTACAATGTTAAAAGCAATCAATTATTAAAAGAATACATATACAATACGATTGGGTGGGGACCAGATTCAAATTGGTTTAAGAGAAACTGAAGTGGGGTTGCGGAACGAAGCCCTAAAATTTCAGAATCTATACTGTGTAGCCCATGTGATAATAATAACTAGCATTAGTTCTGTTTTATTCAACTTTTTAATTACACGCAATTTTCATATCCAAAATGTACATACATCGGTATATTATTTTTGTAGTTTATCTCTAGACGCTTTAATATACTTTATTATGGTTTTCCTATTATGTTGATGAATACGATTTTGAACTTTCGTTTAAAATAAAACTTTATTTATTTTAATCATATAGCAAAGAACTCAACGAGAATGAAAAAATTATTTCATACATATTTGGAAAATTAAATTTATTTTTAACCCTAACTGATTAAAAATTATTATCATTAACCAAATGATATGAGGAGGGGGTCCATAAAAGTTTTATTACTATTGAGTCATTAAAAATTTCGATTTTTCCAAAATATAAAAATCATTTTTCCTAATAAAAATTTTGTTTTTGATTTCATTTAAATGCGTATGTGAAATCAGTCACTGTTCTAAGCATTTGCTCACACTTCATATAATTACATATATGCAATTTCTCGTCTTTTCAAATTCTTTAACAAAGTTAAAACATTTTTTAATTTAACAATTTAAAAGCAAACTTTACAGGAAAACTCCGTGGAGAATGATAGTTTCTATATTAAAAAATCAAGTTTAAAATACTCAAAGTATGTATGCATGTATGTATCAATTTCCCAGATATTAATTTTATATAAGAACAAATGTTTTGCAAAATGGCACATCTTTAAATGAAAAACTAAAAAAAAAAAATTTTAATTTATTCTTCTTAAGATACCTTAATATATCATGATAATTGCATACTTTTAGGTTAAGAATTAAATAATGGTGTTTTTAATGGTAATTGTATTTAACGATCACTTCTTTGTTTTTATGGAAATTTGAAAAAAAATTAAAAGAATATAAGAAAAAATCAATCTTTCCTAATTTTCTAAAAATTTGATTAAAAACAGCGAAATAAAATAGATGTCTATGCTATTTACGGCAGATGAACCAAATTCCCATTCTCTAATGTTTTCAGTGCTTATTTCTCTTATTATAAAATAAGCTTGTGATTTCAACATTTAAAAAGAAGGATGCAAAAAAAAAATCTTTTATAGCAATAAATTTCTCTTCCTATCTTAAAACGTGGATAAATTTTGTAAGCCAACTCTAAAATGGGTAGAGTGAAGACAAAAAGTAAATTTTTTTCAATTTGTTGAAAATTTGCAAAAAATACCGAAGTATAGGAAACTGAAACTGAAAATACACAAAATAAAAATAATATTCGATTTGAAAGGAAAATGTACAAAGTATCTTCAAAGGAAAAAAATTTATTGCCTTAGTTTAAGTCAATTAAAAAATTTTTGAAAAATAATCAATACTTAATTTACCCTGTAATCGTCATAAAATATTCGTCATTATTATAATTTGTTTGATAAACATAAAAAAAATAATTAGTACCTACCTACAACTTTATTATTACTATCTTTAAATTATCATTTAAGCTATCAGTAATATTAAATGAGATTAGAATAGAATTCCCCAATTTGTATCTATATGAAATCTAATTTTCAATAATAAATACATAAGTAAAGTGATTTTCGGGATCAGTTTTGTTTTTAGCTTTTTAATGTAAACCCATTGGATATTATCGTGCGTCGGGATATACAGATAATATAAGATGATCGAAATTATTATCATCATATTTGTATTATGTTTAAACTTAATTATATTAAAGGTAATTGTCCTAACTGACACTATTTATAATTACATAAACTTAATATTATCACATTATTAAAACATTTTATTTATAAACTGCAAAAATTCAGAACCTTCTTCTTATTATTTTGTCGTAGGTTTTTATAAAAATGTGCATATCTTATAGAAGAAGTAACAACAACACAGGAAACAGTAACAGCAACCAAACACAAAGTAAGTGTTTCTAGATAATTTAATAGAGAATCATCAATTAAAAAAGCAAATGTTAAAATTACATAAAAAACCTAATTTGTTGAAAATTTTAGTGGAAAGAAATATTGAAACGACAGAGAGAATGCCACCTACAATCCGAGATATTGAACAAATACCACCACCTAATTACAATCAAATAGTTTCAAATTATAATGAATTTACAACTAACAAAATAGCATTATATGATGGTTTACCAAGCTATGAAGAAGCAATCACAAAAAAAGATACAACACTTATTGGCAACGAAAGATCAACATCAATATTTACAATTACATTAGGTGAATCGACGGAAGTTATGGGAAGGCACTAAATTACATAGAATACGGAAAAGAGTTTTATCTATGCAACAGGCAAATCATATTAAACAGACGTTATTAAAAAAAAAACTACCGGTCTGCACACGTAGCATGTACATGAAGTTACATTACAAAAAAAAAACACACCCAATAGAAAATGATAAAGGTACAAGAGATTAGATAAGCTGTAACGGTGTTATATTGGATATATATATGTATGCCTTTAATCGTATATGAAAAATATTGCAATATTATATTATGTTAAGATATAAGCTTGGTTGAATTAATTAATGCAGTTGTACCTACGTTATGTAGGTACCCATACTTATATTTTTAAACTATAAAATATTGCCGTTTTTACTAATAATTTTGGAGTACTTATTTGGAATTTTAATAAACGGGAAAGTAGAAGGCAGGTTATTAAATATACTTACAAATGTAATAGAAACTAAGAGAAAATTTCTTTATAAAAATTCTCACATCAAAATTTTTTAGAGCTGTTATAAAAAATACTGTAGACTTAAATTCCCAAAAACAAAAACATTTTTGTAAGCTTTTTTTCATTTAGAAATTTATTCAAGGCGTTTTCATTTGATTTTATAATTTCACATTACTGATAGATTTTTAATATTATAAGAAACTTTAAATAATAGTTCTAACAAAATGTTTATATTTGCCTACTATTTAAAAACAGATTTACCCAAAGACCTCAAAACTAAAATAGATTTTGAATTCATATGCAAATCACTATGCACATATATGTATAAAATTTAGTGTGAAATAAACTGAAGTTAAATTCTCGAAATTACTTTTTTATTTTTAATATTGATAATTTTAATTTGTTTTTAACTATCATTATTTAAAATTTCCACATTACAACATTTCAGGGCACTCAAAAATATTATATTAAATTTTTTTTAGCCATGTACATATTTTTATTCTCGGATTTAAAACATCCATTAACAATTTTTATCCCAATTATTCTAAATTTTTTTATTAAACCATCATTTTTGAAATCAGGATTAACTTCAGTGACTTTCAAATAGAATTTTAAGAGTAAATTTTGTATTAAAATATTGACTTTTGAACAGCAACACATTTCGATTAAAGTTTAAATTTTCATAAATGTGAAATTAGAACGTTATTCATGTCACGTACTCAATTTTACAAAGCCACCTACATATAAAGAACTAGACAAAAATTTTGTTTGAACTTTTTTATGAACATTTTACTTAAAAATAATTCAACTTAAATCGAGTACATACAGTTTTACGTCATCAATTGATTTTTAATATGTAGATTAAAAATTATTTGTTCGAAAAATTCGAATTTTTTTTCAAAGCACAAATCCTTTGATATGGATTGACGTAAGCAAATTTATACCCTTTTTTAAACAATGTTTTTTAAGATATCAATAATTTCCAGTTTTAAATAAATTTTCAAGATGTGCGAAAAAAAATAATTTAACTTCATCAATAAAAATTTAAATAACAATATTTGTTAAAAAATTATTCTATGATAATATACATCGTTATTTTTTATACAAATTTCCCTTTTCAATATCAAATAAATATTTGCATTAATTAAGCTCTACCCTACACTTGAATTATAAATTCATCATTTATTCCAAATTTAATATTCACTGAATTAAAAAAAAACTGGTGAGTTCAAAAATATAAATATTACCATGTTAAATTACTTAGTTCTTTAAATAATTTAATATAAATCAGTTAATATTATTGTAAACTAGTTGTTACACATATAAAGCTCTTGAAATATATATATGATATATGTATAGATATATGTACATATTCTAAACAAATTTGATGACGGTTTAGAATCTATTGTATTGGTTGAGGATCAATATTTCTACATAGAATTTGTTCTAAAGGTGGTCCTCTTTTTCCGTATGGGTCTTTAGCTACAATGAATAAATCATTGCACCATGTATATGTTATAACCCTATTTTCAATTAATTTTTTGAATCCTGGATTTTCATTAATTAAATCCCTATAGTTGTCATTAGAAACAATAGCTGCATCAAATTCTAACGCTAATTGTAAGATAAATCTAAAATTTAAAAAAGACCAAACTTTTATTGAAGAAATAAAATTCTTATAAAAAGATTTTCCAACATTACCTGTCGTCGTAACTACAAGTTTTCAAATCTGGAAGATTTTTTCCTGGTGTAAATACTACTTTACCAGCTCGATTCAAATCTTTTAGTTTTTCACCATCCGTTGATTTGTTTGGATTAGAACGATACTGCGGTACAACTGCTTTTACTTCATGGCCTTTTTTTTCAAAAAAATTAATTGCTATTTCAAGGCCACGTGTTGAAAAATAATTGGAATTACCATGGCTTCGAAAGAAAAAATATATGATGATACAAAACTTCATTTAAAATTTAATCAAAGAAATTACCCAAATGCAACATTACTGCCATCAATTATTATCATTCTTTTTTCTGCAGTTTTTATGCTCTCATTTCTGTTCGGATTATATGTATTTGTATTGTAATTTTCATTTTTTTTCTTTTCCGAATTAGTAAATACGATTTCCCCCACTTTCCTTTTACTTATAGGTGTACTATTCCTATTTATATTAGATTCTAGATTCATTTTAAATTTTTTGAAAGGATTGACCAGTAATTTTGATGGAGTCTAAAATTAAAGACGTTGCGTAAAAGCAATGTGTCCATAAAAGTTATTGAACCACAGAAAAAATATTTTAGAAATATTTACACTATAATCAAAACTATAAAAAAAAAACAAAATATTTACACTCAAAGGCCGTTTTCTTCGTCTCCTTTGCCTATTTATAACACTAATGCTATTCGGTGATTCTAATGGTATAAAATTCATTTCTGCGGAATTCGATTTTTGGGCATCTTTAACTACTCCAACAAATACTACAGAATCATCATCGTCATCGTCGACATTTATGCTTTTATTATTTTTATCAAAAACAGAATTTTTAGTACCCTGCTTTTGTACAGAAGCATTATCATTGATAACTTTGCTTTGTCTAGATTTATTTAATTTTTTCAAAAGTAATTTTTTCTTATAACGGCTTAAGTAAGGTGGTTTGTGAATGTTAGACCGACCTTCAAGAGGAGGACGAGAAAGAGGAATATAATTAATATTATTTGGGTTTGTACCATTTTTAGGAGTCGAATGGTTTGCTGCAAGAGGGCTTTCAATATTACTGACATTATTTTCATTCGATAACGAAATTATTTCTCCTAATTTTGAACTTTCCTCAATGGAATTTTCTGTCTGATCTACTCCAGTACTATCAATTACACTATATATTTCTTTACCTATAACAACCTTCTTATTCCCTAAAATTTCTGAATTTATTTTTGAAACTTCATATAATGGTGGTATAACTGCAGTGGTTGTAACATTAACTGAATCACTAAAATTTGTTTCGTTCCCGATTACTATCACAGATTCATTTTCCGCACGAATAATGTCTTCATTTTGAGTAGGTATGTTCTTCAAATTTTTCTCTATTATATTTGTAGATGTTGTGTTTTCATTATTTTCAGTTAATAATAACATTTTATCAAAATTCTTAGATATGTCGTTTGCATCATTTATATTTTGGATTCCACTATCATTTTCGATGTTTATATTTTCGTTCTTCTTTGTTAAACCATTTTCATTATTCTGATTTTTAGAATTCGATTGGTTTAAATCATTTTGCACTAAAATAGGTGTTTTTGATAAAGATTCTACACCTTCATTATCATCATCATCGATTACGATAACTTCTTCAGGTACTTCAATTAAAATGCAATCATCCATAGTGGATGAATTTTTTTTTAATTTTTTTGTTTGTATTATATTTTTTCTTAGTTGTTGTTTTAGTTTCCGCTTACTAATTCCGCTAGTGCTTGCAGTTTCAAACGATTGATCTAATGAAGCCAAAGTCGATGAGCTTGAATCATTATTCGGTAAAAATTTACCCAACGTAACATTTGAAATGCTTTTTTGAGAACTTCTCGTATTCTGTTAAATATATTGACATTATTTATTGTCAATTGTAGCCTATTATATTTTAAGATGTTTGTGAATTTGAAATTTATAAATTATAAAGGTTCACAAATACATATTTTACTTAACTTTATAGTTCTATAAAGTAGATAGCTAAAAAATTGAATTGATCTGAAGATATTAGCATTAGAGTTGATAACATCATAATAAAATGATTTTAATGAAATACCTATTAAAATAAGAAAAATATGTATTTGCTTTTTCATACTCACCTAAATACTTACCTTAATACCTACCTGCAATTGCGATCATTCTATTTAAAGGATTTCATTTAAAACACAAAGCTAATCAAAATTGTATGAGCGAAATTTTAATATATGTATGTACATAGAATAATCTGAGACATACATAATCTGTTTGGTGATTAGCTTTGTAAATTGTCAAGTTATTTCCAATATTATATTAATATCCATATTATTCAAAGGAATTAATCATATGTCGAGAATTCCATATTAGTCGTCGGGACATTTTAAAAAATATAAGGGAATATTAATATTAAATATAAATTTATTAAACTTTAATTTTAAAATGTGTAAAAAATTGATTTAGTCTTATAAACCAATATTAAAAGGTAAAAAAGATTACGTCCTAAATTTTCAATCAAAGATTTTCAATTGGGTTAAATCAGTCTATGGATGAAATAATTTTTACAACTTGGTTTTATTTGGTTATTTTATGGAATTCTCAATGAGTATATGTATAAAAGTACATATTATATTTTATTATATAATTCAATAAACTAGAAATTTGAAAAATATCTCGATTTAATTTGATAGAATGGTTTAAGCTGTTTCTTTATAAAAAAGTTAGTTTTAAAAGAACTTTCTTATTCTTTATTATTTATATTTGTGATATAAATTTGCTTTTGTGTTTGCTTTATTAAAATTCGAAAAAAAACTCTTAAAAATTTTCCAACTCAAATGGTAAGCTTTTGCAACTTCAAATAATATACAATATGTAAGTATACATAATATATTTATATATATTTGAAATTATACATAACTATTTAATAAGCTCATTATAATTTTTTTGATTTTCAATTAATTTTCAATACAATTTTAAAATACTCATTCAAGTTTTGATTAAATTACATCAAAAATTCCACTGATAAGCAATTCAAATATTTTGATTACAAATTTACAAGACACTACACAATTATGATTTTAATTTTATTATTCAATTATTATTTTCTAAAATAAGGATTCGTTACAATTTCTATTTGTTCGTTTTTAATCTTTCGATTTCATTCTTAATATTATCTCGAGCCTTATTTTCAAATTTGGAAAAATATTCTGGAGTTTGGTATATCGCCGGAATTGTTAAAAATGTTTCCAATATCTAAAAACATAATTATGGCATTGTAGTAATCTTATATAAAGATATTTATATAAGATTATAGCAAATTAAAACATTATAAATGCACAAATTTACAATAAATACAATAAAATAAAAAAGGGATAAATCAATAAGCACTGAAATATTATAATATTAATTTTCATTAATATTGAAATAAAACAAGAAAATTTAGATTAAATTGAAATAAATTGAAAAAAAGATTAGTTAAGTTTTGTAACCCAAAAGAAAATAATTATTTAGTTAATTCCAAAACATATTTGTAACATATCTGTTTTATAAAACAATATATAAGACTATCAAAATATTGAACATAATTTTATTTACATGTTAATAAAACAAATTTATCAAAATTTATTTTGAAATTTTGATGAAAAAATAAAAGATGGGTTTAAATCAAAATAAATGTACCATTAAAACATGAAAATTGTAAAACAATTTAATTACGAAACAATACCTTCAATCTCATCCCATTATAAGATGAATCATTTAAAGTTGCGTATTCTTTTCTAATTAAATCACAATATGTTTCGTATTCTTCATATGAAGATCTAAAATAACATTTTCACTTCAAGCTAAATCATTTCATTATATTGTATAAAATGTATTTACGAAAGTATTAATAAATTAAGATCCTGTATTAAATTAATATCTTCAGAATATCCTGTATACTCTTCAACTGAGTCATCTCCTAATAATTTTCTAACCCGATTGATTACAACTTCCTTGAAGGACGAATATATATATATGAGAAAGAAAATTTCAGATATATTTTTCATTACATCAGAATCTTACTTACATCAGAAAAATTTGCTTCTTCACAAAATTCCAAAAATGCTGCACAATTTTTTTCGGTCAAATTGTGCTCCACATTGAATTCGTAATATTGAAAAAAGACGGCCAATATGATTATTGGCTTGACATCTAATAAATACTGTTCTTTTTTTATTATCAATTCATTCCACGTATGAAAAAATCTATGAGACTCAGTTGATAATTTATTTTCAATCTTATGAAACCATTTTTTAGCTATTTGATCGTTAATATTTAATTGAAGACAACTATTTAACCAAATAATGTCCATATTATTACTAAAACCAAAAGAAAAATTGTTTAACTTTGAATGAGTAATGTCTAGTATGGCTCTTATATTCTTCTAGCAATTACGAATCATAGATAGGTAGTATGTACTTCAAATTGACAATTCTCTCTTTCAATATTAACGTGTATTGGGTCAAGTACAATCTTTTAAGGACCAAGAAACTTGATATAGGACATGCGCAAAGTTTCAATAAATTTCAAAATATTTTGGAATTTTTTAATTTTCTTATGCACTTCAAGCTATCTTTTAAAATAGAAAATTTTTTGAATTTAAAAACAATGGAGCAACAGATGTAATATTATTATCTTAATTTCTACCTACATTAACACCTGCACATTGAAACAGTTTCTATTTCATATTTATACTAAGTCTAAAACTAATAAGCAAACACAAGCAAATTTAAGAAACCGGCCACAATTAATTTTTTACAAAATAATTTAATAAACTGGTAAAATGTTGACTAAATTGAAATTTAATAGATGTAAATTATTTTGCTTTTGCGTAAAAGTAAACAAAAATACCTCATTGGACCAAGTTAAACTTTTTTCTTTCTGAGCTTCATTTTGGTTTTTTAAACTGTTTCTCCCTTTTCTGATCAATGTAACCTTTGATAGTTTACCATTCTTAAACTTAGTTATCCTTCTTTTTCTTCTGGACTTGTTAACCGAATTTTGCGAAGACTGGTTATTTAATTTGTTTGATCTTCTTCTGCGTTTCATAATCACACCTTCTGACCTCTATAAAAAGAAATACCTTACTCAACTCTACAAATTTGTAAAATAAGGGTCTTTTTCAAGTTAGACTAAGTTTTACCAAATTAACTTTTTTAAATAAAAAATTTGGAAAGCTCAAATAACGATATTTTCTTAAAAAATTAAAGATTTCCGAATTGTGAAAGTCTCAAAACAAAAATACAATGTCTCATTTACGATAAGAGCATGCCGTTTGACACTTCTGAATACGTCAAAAAGTTTTTTAATCATTTTAAACTTGACATACCAAAATTTTCTGAACAGTTTCTTTTTGTAGAACACTAAAAGGAGTAGAAACAAAGAATAGCATAATTCGTACATAAAATTTGCAATTGCAATCATAATAGTTTAGTAAATAAATGAATCTTAACAAATAAGTCGTTGTAGTAATAGAATATGTTTCATATTTACCCCATTGAGTAGAGTACAATCACACCGCTTAAACGTGAACTTTCAGTGCAGTAAAAAATAAAAATTCTTTTAGACTTAAAAATTGAGAAACATAGGCAAAGCTCAAGCAAAACTAAATCGGTCAGACGTTGACTACTGTACGATTAACGAATAAATAGCATGAAGTGAACAAAATCTTATGACTATGGATTTATATCTTCATCTTAATTGATTGCACTTAGCCTACTCGGAGCATCTTAATAAAATATCATTTGATTTGAATACAAAAATATGTGTTATATAAAATGGTAATTAAATAATAAAAATATTTCTAAATATGAACATTACATATTTTTTTGAAAATGCTTACTTTTTTTTTTATGCTTACGATCCTATAATTTTCATTATAGGAATTTGAAATTTTATTAAGTTTTGTCTGTCAAAAGTTAAAATTTTAACTTAGGACAACGAAAAAACTTTATGATAACGTCGAGATTGCTTCGATTTTGGATACTTTATGTATACGTTAATTTTTTGTTTTACAAATCGTAACATATAATCGGAGTGTAATATATAATTTATATTCGTTAAACTATATTCAATTCAATACATCGCGATTCGTGACATAGTAGTATATTCCAGTATTACATATCTTACCACATTTTACAATACATAATTGTATATTATATGATTGTATTTACAATATCTTAGCGATGTATGTATTTGCATATACACATATTATAAGATAAAAAGAGGAGACAAAAAGGCGCCAATGAATTTATGCAGTATGACAACATAGTAGATATTGAATAATTTAATATACTTTAGTTATCATTTTTGTATGCTCAAAGTTAACAAGCTTTAATACCATAATAATTATACAAAAATTTAAAATTATCTAAAAATATTAATTATACAGTGATATTATAATATGGAATGGTACATGTTTTTTATTATATATTCGACGTTTATATTGTCAATGATCTTATTATGGCATGGATATTTTGGTATAAAAAATTGGATAAAGAGACGTGATTATATAAGTAAGTTAAAGTTAAAATGTAACATTATTTGTAGATTTATGTTTTTTGAAATTTATTAAGTGTGTTTTAAGAGCAGGAAATATAAAATATAATTTATATTTTAATATGAATATTTTCTTGCGCAGCAGTCTGTAAAAATGTTTATTGTAAAGAAGATTAATTAATTGACATGCTATATTGTCATACACAAATATTCAAAATAGATTGAATAGAGACTCTTCTAAATTCAAATATTTGAAAAGTTGATACATACAGTGATATCTATCAAAATGAATCTAACTATATTTGCTGTTGAAAAAAATAGGATTATTTAAAAAATCAACTTATTTTTTTAAGTTTATTATATTGTATAAAAATTATATTAATTTAAATTAAATATAGAGGACTGAAAACGAGCAACAGGTGTTCAATCTTTTATTTAGACGAATTAACTCAAAGTATTGAACTTGCGCATTTGTAAGAAGTAATTTTATTATATTTATTTTTATTATGTTCTACTTTCAAAACGCTTCCCAGATACACTTTTTTTAAAATAGCATACAGTATTAACGCTTCACAGCATTGTCAAACGAAAAACATTTATACACATTGCTTATTATTGTAAAACTTGTACCGCCATATATACTAAGGTTTATGTGCAAGTTTCAGTTCAACTTCTATACTTAATTCCTATTATAAAATTACCAAAGAAAAAACCAAAACAGACAAAAACAATAACAAAACTATTTGTACTGCACGATAAAAAGTCATTTTAAATTTGTTTAATGTCCTATTCGGACTACAGAAGAATAACATGTTTTAGAGAGTTGGATTCACACTACATTAATTGTTTTCATTTGACAGTCAGCTTGTTTTGTGTATTTATACATAATAACCAAAAATAATTTATTCACAAATAAGAAAATATCATGTCATCCTGGAAAAAACGTTTTATCTTGACAAATTTTTTCCATGTAAAATTTATAGTTAAAAACTTTTAACAAATTTAAAATGACGTCTTAAATTAAATAAGTCATACTAATTTTCTTTATCTTTGTTGGGAAAATTACAAATTGCGAATTATAAAACAAAATAAATTTATTAAGCTAACAATAATAATGTTTTTTTATAAAGTTAATTGCCTGCTCCGAAGTCTGTTACGCGATTTGTATTTAAAAAAATATAATTATAAAGTTTGCACCCATACGCAGTTTCAATTCTATTTCGGTAAGATTTGGTTAAAAAATTTACGATATAAGAAAATAATTTGACATTGGCATTGTGCACATTACGTTCTATTGTATCATTTTTGACAAGTAAAAATATATACCAAAAATTTCGATTTGACATTTGTTTGACAATTATTTTTTTATTTACAAATTTTTTAAGATGTTTTCGGGAAGCTTTTTCTATTATCTTTCCATACTTGGTGATTCAATTTTTGTTTTTTACTAAAGAGTTTCAATAACGTAGTGTTTAGTAATTAGACTCAGTAAATAGTTGGTTTTCCAGTTGATATTTTTAAATTAAATATTTAATAAAGATATTTTTCATATATAATTCCGAGTTTGTAAAACCAACTGTCGAAATTTTAATTTCGATAATTATAAAAATTTATATCTGATTTAAATAAAAGAAAATTTAAACTACAAAGTGTAATATTTAAAAAAGACTTGTAGAAAATGGAATGGTATACACTGCTTATAATATTCATTTGTTTATTTGTGATATTTTCATGCTGTGGTTATACATGTAAAAAAAAGGAACGTGGTGCTATATTTTCAAGTAAGTTTTGTGAAAATAATAAAATTCAATTTCCACAATAAGTAAATATAAAATCAAAAATAAAAAATGTAATCATGAGATGGTCTTCAAAAATTAAGTTTTATTAAACTTTTATCTGTCTTACACAACATAGCGAAAATATTTCTGATAATAAATGAATCATGTGTCAATCTAAAATATTCTGTTATAAGTTAATTAATTTAACAAATTAAATTTAGATTACAAACACGCGTATATATATTGTATAGAACAGATTAATTGATAAATAGAATGAGATGTCACACATTTGAATTCTTATGCTAATTTTGAACATAATGCTAAATATATAATATAAATACAAAAACACATTGAATTACAAAGCTTTTGATTTAAATATATATTAAGTATGTATGTATGTATGTGCCAGTTTCTATCTGAATTAATCTGAATATTGTTAGGTTAGTTAACCGGCATATTTTGATTTGTGTATTCTTTGTTCTGTGAGATGCACCTTTTTAAAATTTAAGTTGTAAAAATTTTTAAATTTTGAAGTTTTTGAAATTTTATTTCAAAATTTTGAATTGACAAAAAGCGAAAATTAGATTAAGTGGAATATAAATCCCGCTTGTAGAATACAAATTTCCCGCGATTTTCAAAATAAACAATGAATGGTTCAGTATAATTAATATACATATAGGTAAGTATACGAATGTATGCATATAAAAACAAAAGTATTAATTAGGCGACCTAAGTATGTATAAGATTATCTATTGATTATTTCAAAAATCAAAAATCAAGATTACCTACATATATGCTGACATACCTACATTACATTAATGCAATGGAAAATTGTAAGAATAATACCCGTCTGCGGAATAAAACCTTATAAAGTTGGAGTTAACCTTGCCCACTATTTTCTTCTTTACAAATTATTACAAAAAAATATTTCCACGTTCAAGGCTAATAACAAAATTTTTTAGCTAATATGAATATGTATATGCTGTTACCTACATAAATATAAATAAATTTTAATAAAAATTTTAAATGTTATGATTAAATTTTTATTATAAATTGAAAAGGAGCTTTGATTTGACGTAATCAAAACGTTTTTAATTTCATCAAAATAAATGCATTGCCTATTTAAGGAATAAACTTCTAAAGTTTAAATATCATGAAAAAGGAGAGAAAATTCAAGATTCGTCGAAACCCCTTCATTTTTAAATCTCTTCTATACCTACACAAGTAGGTACCTACCTATTTGCCTACTATTTACTTTTAGGAAATTTAATCTGAAAAGTATAAGAAAAATAGAGATCCCAGAATTAATTCTTCATTTAGTTCAAGGTATGTGATGTGAATTGAAAAAATAAAATTTATTTTTTCTGTACAGACAACCTAATGTTGTGTTCTATTTCTGAATATTTGGAAAATTTAATGCAAAGGTTAGGGTATTGCCACATTTATAATAAACTTTACAATCCTAAGATACAATGTTACTTTTTTCACATGTACCTATGTAAGTACCCATATCTACCTAAGTAATATACTATTTATACATAATTTATTTTATTTTCATTATTAAAAAAATTAAACTTAAGTTCCAGTTATGCATTTTTCGAATGTGTTCCGAAAATTACAAAATTTAATAAGAAAATTTCAAGTAAAGAAAATTATTTCAGAATTCATAATAATTATAAACGTTATTCACTTTTGAATCCAAAACCAATCAAAATAACTTTTCTAAATAATTAGGGAAACCCCAGAAACAAATGCAATCCAAAGGCCATACACGTATTCAATTTCTAACAATCCAGCATAAGGGCAACGAAAACATATTTTTAAAAGCTGAATTCGCCTGAAATAATTTAACATTTAACCTTTTTTAATAGCAGTCATTGCATTGATTGCCCTCATTATAATTTAAATTTATACTTATTACAAGAAATTTTCAATTGAGGAGCTCAATGAACACCTACCTATTTTCAGAATTATTTAACAAAGAA